AAGTTTAATGAGGTATTTACAGTGAAACAACTACTAGTCTTTAATTACTTAAGTTGAGAACGTGTGGTTTAGAAAGCTCTTTTGTAGACCCGTTCCTTATGTCGAAACAATCAGCACTCGTTCACTTCTGGCAACCGATATGTCATTATATAACATGACTCACGGCAATGCCAACTTTTAAACAGATGTTTTGTTTACCTATTGTTTTTCTAAATTTTTGTTTCATGTTTTCGTTTTACGGGTTGGCATTTCCTAAATTTTAGCAGAAAAATACATAAATATTCTATCTATTTATCACATATTTATCCCTAAACAATGATTACTGTGTTTACAAATGTGGTACCCTTTTTCCTATAAATTTGAAAAATTAAATTAAAGAACAAACAAACACGATATTGGAAGTTCGCATTTGATAATTTTAGCACGTGTATATTTCTAGAGGTTATTTGCTTTTTATACTGAACTCTGTTGGTGGCCGTTATGGATCTGAACAACAAAGAAAGGATAAATGTTTTTGACCTTCTCTACATAGAATATTAATTTCATTATAATAACGGAGAACGTTTCACGGAGAATAGGAGAACAAATGTAGAAGAAGGAAATAGAAAGCATATAAGAACTATTACGGGGAATTTTAATAAAAACGAGAGGTGATTAATCCGAAAACATGTCACACGCAATTCCGTGAAAACTCCTTTGGAAAGACACATAGAAGGAAATGGATGTAGAGAAAGACCATGCCAGCCCCGTTCAACAACGCGAGATGAAGGCAAAAGCTCTGAAGTTTATTGTGTGAAGCAGCTGCTACCCAAAGTCCGAGTTAAATACCAGAGAAGATGTGTGCGACAGTGCCCACCACTTTTGCCACGAAGGCCCTCCGTATGCTCCCATGCAGGTAGAGCCTTGCTTCGCTGCGGGCGCTTCTAGTCGCACGTGCGCGGGCGTGGGCGTTCCGCCGCCACCTTTCACCGCCCGGTTGCGCAGCGAATCGCCCGGCGCCGCCGCTCCTGCCCAGACGCCCACCGCCCGCCCGCCCCGCTGCCCAGCTGCCGCCCGACGACGGGACGGCCCGTCAGGGCAGCGTACGCCACCATTCGCCCGCTCTGCTGCCTAGCCATCGCCCCGACAAACTACCATACGCCAACCGCCCGCCCGCCCAGGTGCCTAGCCATCGCCCGACGACGCACGGCCGCCCCGACAGATCACCATACGCCTACTTCGCCCGCCCAGCTGCCTAGCCTTCGCCCCGACAAAGTACCATACGCCAACCGTACGCCCGCTCAGGTGCCTAGCCATCAGCCGGTGACGCACCGCCGCCCCGACAGATCACCATACGCCAACCGTTCGCCCGTCCAGCTGCCTAGCCTTCGCCCCGACAAACTACCATACGCCAACCGCCCACCCGCCCAGGTGCCTAGCCATCGCTCGGCGACGCACCGCCGCCCCGACAGATCAACATACGCCTACTTCGCCCGCCCAGCTGCCTAGCCTTCGCCCCGACAAGCCACCATATGTCTACCGTCCAGTTCACGCCCTCCCAGCTACCTTGCTCAGACAGACTACCATACGCCCACCCAGCTACCTAGCCATCGCCAGGCGACGCCTCGTCGCCCCGACGGACCACTTTATGCCCACCGCCCACCATTCTTCCGCCCAGCTGCCTAGCCATCGCTCGGCGACGCCGCACGCCCCGACCGCCGTCTCCTGGCGACGCTCCTGCCCCCATCGTCCAACGACTCTCCGTTCCCGGCCACCCCCCGCCCAACCGCTCGACGTCGCCCGCCCATCGCCCACTCGCCCTTCCCCGCCGCCCGCCGCCGCTCAGCCGCCGCCCACGCAGTGCCCGGGCACCGAGCCCCCTCCCTCCTCCCCTCCCGCTCGCAGCATGGCCGCCAACGGTAGGGGGGCGACTCGTCGCCGATAGCGCGATTTATCGAAGAGCTAACATCCGTATCTGTGTTTATTGTACTGACAAAATTGCGGTGCGAGGTCGATTAACGAACGTGATCCTAAGATGGTGTTCGCTCCTCGAAATGGTTGTTAATCGATCAAAGATTGATAATACATTTCTAAGAGAATATGTTAACTTTTAGGTGGACAATGCCCCTTCTGCCTTCGATATGGAGTTCGGTATACTGTGACGTCATGGATACTCACAGCGACCACAGACACAGAGCTTTCGTATAACAAATATATTTATTAACAAGAAAACAAAACAAATATATACACTTAATAATCTACTTAAACCCTAGCTCTGATAGACCTACTATCCCCTGATCGCGGGAGCGATCCAAACCCGATTGAAGATGGTTTTGATTGTGGCATTCGCCACTCCTACTTTTGAAGCGCGCACAAAGCCTAGCTTCCGTGACCGGATGTCACGCTGGGACACAAAGTCCGTTCTGGCGCACCAACGGCTGGTTTGCCTCGATCGCAGGGGCGATCTTATCCGATTGAGAATCGGCGTGAATCGTGGCACTCAACCACTCTTCACCTCGGAGCACGCACACAGCATCGCTCCCCCGTGACCGCAGTCACCCAAGGACATAAAGTCCGCAGGCTTCGTCAACTAATGACTCCAGCCTCGCGAGCCTGGCTCGCATATGCACCGTCTTGGCGCCAAGTTTTGTGCACACGCACGAGGTTCTCCCACCGTCTCCAGAACCTACCTACTGGCTCTGTACACTCAGTTATATAGGCGAGGCCCACGTGACCTACTACGTCACGCCACCCCCTCGCTTGTTATAACAGTGAAAAGCTTCTATAAGCCGGAAACTCCCAAAGCCTTGTGTCTCCCCCATTCCGCGTTCTTCCCTTTACGGAAAAACCCTACTTCCTGTGGCTAGGCTAATCCGCTCCCAAGCGTCCCCAAATAGATGCCATGAGGCACGCTGGCTAATACGTTACAATACGAGTACATTGCATAACTTATCCACTTACGTCAATCGAGAGGATCGTGTTTACGAGGGAAATTTAAAAACTGTTGATGGTGCTACATCACCTTTCATCGAGGGAATTATGAAAACACAAACCGAGTGAAGCTAATAACTAGTGAATTAGTAAATAAGTAAATCTAAATCATTAAAATTACGTAAAAGCGATGTATCTGTTAACTGGTTCTAATGATCTCGGGAGACAAAATGCCCTCGGGTAAAAGACCCTCGGACTTTTGTTGATCCTTGATCATTAGAAACGTTATAACGCCTTTGTTGCGTAAATCACTATTAAAGAAGAACTTTCAAGGAATTTGTTCACCGTGACACCAGGCTTTTTTTTTACATAATCTATAACAATTTCCTGTGTTGCAAGATTGCATCGTAAAGTTTAAGCAACTGGTGCAAGCGAGAAAGGTGTGCTGCCAATCAGCACATCCACGTACTTAGTCTTCTGATGCACTTATTCATAATTATTAATTAGGGGATTGTTTGCACGGCTTAGCGAGGAGCAACCGACTGCATTCTCGATGTTTGCGTACGCGCAGATGCGCAAGTGATGCGAAACTCAAACTCAACTGCGCGTGTGCAGAAAATCGACGTGTTGTTGCTTGTAGTAACGCTTCGCCGTACAAAAACTAAAACAAAAACAACCTCCAAATACGCCTTTGTTCCAGTGGGGCTGGTCCTTTACGGGGCAGTAGGACGGCGCCCTCCCCAAAAAAACAATCTCGGAAATGTTGCAGAAGGTATTATACTTTCAATAAATCGACTCTTAATTAGTGCATATCACCAGTGCAATTTTTGAGAACGAATTAGTTTTATGTGTCGGTTCAAGCAAAAGATAAAATGTTTTTAGAATGGCTCGTATCGTGGACTACCGCGAATCCGTCCGTCTAAAAAAACAAAACAACTGGTACATGCGAGGCAATGGAAGCTGGAGGAAGAGTGGGAATACTGGGAATCGGGTGGAGGCAGCGTGCTGCTAAGGATTTTGTTCGGAAGTCGCACCTATTAACTTGACTAAGAATACCGACCGTTACATTTGATTTCATAAAATTAGTGTTCTTTGCTGGAAATTATATATATATACATATATATATATATAAATATATACATATATATAAATATATACATATATATATATAAATATATACATATATATATAAATATATACATATATATAAATATATACATATATATAAATATATACATATATATATATATATATAAATATATACATATATAAATATCTACATATATAAATATATACATATATATATATATATATATGTATGTATTTTTTTATTTCTTACTTTCATGTGAGCACAATTGTACCGCCCGTTAACAACGTAAAAGTTGTCTTAAGCAAGAATTAAAATTCTGATGCGTGCAAATTAGGTTGTACACTACATACTGTAGTTTTCTTCATTCAAGAAATATTTTGAAGGGGCAAAATGAATGTGATAGTTGATACATATTTGCCACCCCTCTTAATTTGCAATCCACCAGCCGCCATTGCATTGTATCCAGCCGATCGTTTTGGAAGGGGCCATCATAGATTTTTTTGTTACATTACACATTTTTTAATTTATTGTAGATTATTTTTGTAAAGTATATCGCACCTCCAATAGAAAAGTGACACAAGTGTAAAATCTTCATTTTTCAGCTAAAGGCTGACAAGAGGTTACCAAGAGGTACTGCTACTATTCTGAAGTAGATTTTGAATTAGTTCAATTACAGTCCGCTAGAAAGTGAATATTTGGTACAATCTATAACGAGTATTACAGAACTACGAAACTTAAAATTGTAATTTCTGAGAAATCAGAAATTCGCACTTTTGTCACTTTTCTATTGGAGGTGCGATATGATACCATACAATATGTTTTTAATTATTCAATTAATACCTAATTTAAATAAATATTTAACTCAATTTTTCCAAATAAAAGGAAGTTACAAACGTAAACTCTAGGTCTTTTGGGTGGGGCATGCCCCCCTCCCCCGGCTCCGCCATGTACTGCCTCGATATACCGGACTTTGCGCTAATGCGCACCGCGGTTCGCAGCTCCTGGTTGCGGCGGCGGCGGCGCGGAGAGCGAGGGCGACGCAGAAAACGGCTTCGCCGAGTTGGCTGCTCTCGGGGAGAAGCGCGACCGGGACGTGATCGAGATCACGCAGCGCCTGCACGGTGAGGCCCGCCGCGCGCCGCGCCACGCCGCGCCGCGCCGCTCCAGAGCACGTGGTGCGGCAGCCGCGCCGAGAGCCGCTTCCTGCCGGGCGCTCGCCGCCACGCCGCCGCGCCGCCGCCGGCCGTTGTTCTGCCCGAGTGGAGGGGGAAGGGGGAAGAGGGGTGGCTACGAGCGGCGAGGGGAGGAGGCCATGCCGTTTGAGAGGGAGTGCTCCAAGGGGACGGCACATATACTGGCAGAATATTTTTTTTTTTGGGGGGGGGGGTGCGGCGGCGTTATAGGGACAAAAAGCTTGCAGCGCTTCAACAGCGCATACTTTCTAGCAATAATTGTAACATTTGCAATTTTCGAAAATGCAGCTATTGTATAGAAAATCGAGCATTCGCCATTTTTATACGCGTGCACAAAAGTTAAGTAAACTTCGCAAATTCTGAGTCTTTATATAAATTAGTACCAAAAATCAAAATATCCGCGTCAAACTCGCAGGGCCTCGAATTTAGCCACAGGTCGATGGGGGAATATCAATTTTGGTGAAAATCTGAACGATTGGCGCTAGCGTTTTGCAGTCTGAAGACACATATTGTCATCAACCATTTTTTTCAGTATCAAGGACACATGACACGTGAATTCTAACTAGTTCATAACGTGTTAGAGGAAGTAATTTACTACGGATAGTAACACCAGAGTCCCCAAATAGGAGTTTTTGGGTTGAAAGCGTACAGATTTGCTTCGCAACAATACCATTCTTTTGCAACAAAACAATACGTTCTCTTTGCTACGAAATTACGTAGTACAACAAGAAAGTAAAAATTAATTGAGTTTTGATTGGCCTATCAATTAGTCAAGAAAATGCATACTGTCGTTCACTGATTTGTGAATGATGGCCATGAATTTTTCAATACGCCAGAAAGCCTCTGAAGATGGCAGTGGTTCGGCCTGACTCAGAGATAAAACAGTGAATGTTATTTTACCGACAAAATTCCAAACTATTCTCCCTACGACTTGTACTTTCTCGTCATCTACTATTTTACAAGTGCCCAAAGCGACTGTTTAAATTAAAATTGATTATAATAATAATTAATATTTTAATAATGTTGCATTTACAAACCATCGTCACACCAAGTCACAAATCAAGGAATTCACGTACGGTCCCAATGTCGAGGCCTTGATCATACATGGATGGCCCTTTGATCACACCCCACCATGCTTTGATCAACGGCCTTGGCTGGGACATGTGCTTCCGGCCCAACCGCTGCCGCCACCGCCGCCACTGCCTCCACCGCCACCACTCGCGCCTCCACGACATTTCCTCCTTTCACCGCGTCCACCTCTGCTGCCCTTGCCTTCGCCTCCACCGCCACCTGCCCTCCTAGTTTCCTTCGGGTGATGTGAGCATCCTTTTCTGACTCACCTTTGCAACCTTCGGCTGCTTTTCATGCTCTTCTGCCTCCGTCACACTGTTCGACACGAGATTCACTGCGCCGTTGGCGTGGGTGGAACCCGAAGGGGGGGGGGAAGTGATTATGCCGTGTTTGCAGAAAGGGCCCTTAGGAAATCGTGTCCCCTTCCCCGCGTTGTGTGACCGGATTCACGAGAAGAGCGAGGGAAATTTTACTCCTCTCATAAGTCAATGTTGTATTTTTGCATTATTGTATTAAATGCAATTCCATGAAAATATAAGGAATGAAAGGCATATAACTGATGCTCTAAACAAGTGAGATACCTAAAAAATCGGCATTTTGGCTTCGTAAGTGACGAAATAAATTACGGAAAATCAATTTGTGCTAGTAAATTTTCCATAAATGAAGAAAATTGTAAAAATGTGTGTGGATTGAAGAACGCTGCCTCCACGAAGTAAACGCCTCCGTTCAGATTAAAACAGTACTGCAGAGGAGAATTTTTGAGATGCAATACTCTCTTTGAGAATCGATGAAGTCTAATAAAGTAAAATATATATTTTAAATCAAACCTATAACACGAAAATAATTTGAAGTAGATATTGATAGACTAAACGACTATTGTATGATGAACAGCGGATAAAACAGACGCGAGTGTGTTAAAATTATTGGATTTAAATGTTTATAGGAAGGAGATTACTTCGAAAGAAGTCGGACATGAATATGAATAAATATTAGACATGTCTAAACCATAAGGTCGATGACGATGATTTCAAGGGGAAGTGCTACACAGTTCATTATCGATTTTGACCTGTACTTTACATCTCTTTCGTTAGCACAAGAGGCTAAGAGCACTAGCCATCTGGCTCGCGATGAACAAACTTAGAAAACATGACAATTTTACGAGATCTAGTACGGAGGAAGGACGCGTGCAGAGTCAGTAAAACACTGGCACGTACAAAATGTATACCAACACAAGAGAGCGAGATGAGAGCGTGTTCAATTGCGAGCTGTGTACAAAGGTTCGCGGAACGGAGCGTTTTCCTCTCGCGTTTGCCTTCCACGCAGCTGGGACATCCCGGCCTTTCCCCACAGCGCGCGCACGTGCTACAGCTGGCTGCCGCGATCGCGTGGCTGGCTGTGGCTGAGGCTGGCTGGCATAGTCAATGGACGTCCGCCCTCCCATGTCCCCCTGCGCTTGCGCAACGCTCGCTGGGCCACCGCTCTGCTGCGCAGGCGTCCTGACGCCAAGGATGGAGAATGACGTAGTTTCGAACACGACCGCGGCGCTACGCCACCATCCTCATCGCTCCCTTTAGTTTGTGAGGTGACCGCCAGATGCGCTCATGTTTTTTGAAGTAACCAACCGCAGACGGCAGCGGTTTTTCTGAATTTGGCGGGTTCTTTCACGTTTGCTTTGTCAACGACTTGCTAAAACGGTTAAATGACTTGCGAGCTACAGTGGGAATGGCTAGTATCGGACTGGACCTATGTATATACGATTCGTTGAAAACTCTTCAAAATTCCTTTCTATGTAATTACAACGTAGATATTGCACCTCAGTACATTTCCACCTGAGGTGTGGCGTTATATACGAGAAAAACAAATTATATAGTATTAAACTTTTATATTACAGAAAAAATACGAATAAGCAAATGTGATTCTTTTAAACCTCTCTTAGTTGAGTATGGAATACATCCACTGTCTCACCTAATTATTAACTAGTCATCGATTGCCTCAAGACCGACTTAATCAAGGGCAGGACATATTTTCATGCAATAAAATATCTATAATTACAGCTCACATTATAGGAATCTTACTTAACGCTTATTAGTATCAACAGTTCACTACAAGTCCACATATTCTACACATTATGTTACAATACATTGAAGGATGATACTACACAATTCAAATTGATACACATGTATAAATGACAAATCAAATCTTTTTTGTAATTTAACTGTTTATATAATTATTGGCTATATTCTATAATTTGTAACAAAAATATTTATTTTAATAATGGAATAAATGCTCTACTTCTTTATAAAAAAATACTTCAGTATATTATCAATAAATGGTTTAGCATTGTATAATTCTAAAACAATAAATGTATCTGTAACGAGTATTGTACTACCTAGCTTCTGCGTTAATGATATGATTTTTTTAACCTTCTCGCCATTTTCTGTTACATTGAGAAACGTTTATACATAATTGCTTTCATCTATAGGTACACCGTATTAAATATTTACACAATTTTATGTTTTTATATATTTTATATTATATGTTTTAAATTCTGTAATTTTAACACAATTTTTCATTCCCAATTCTAATTTATTAAATAATTCAATTCCTTTATAAACTAGTTTTTACTTGAACAGTTTTACTTAAATTATTGTAGTTATTATATTTTGCACTTGTCTTCTTTACTTGTTTTATCTTTCACTCTTTGGACATTATTTACTAAATTTCCTGTTATCTGATTTTAATTAAATTAAAAATAAAAATAAGCATCTTGTACTGACTACTCTATTTTATTAACGTAAAATTTAAGAGTTTCTGACATGTTTATCATTTGAGTGTATCAATTACATTGCATTATCCTAGTGACTTTATTTTGTTGTATATGCAGTTTTAAATTTCAAATTCCTTGACATGAAATAATATTGTTGCAAAGTAATCAAAATGGGGTGCAATACCGGATTTATGTATCAAATATTCTGTACAGTCATTTGTATGATCCAATTCTTTTTCAAATATCAATATTTTTCCACACTTTTTTTTACTGCGTACTCTATGTAATCTTATAATTGATTGTTCTATTGATAATTATTCCCAAATATCTCTGTTAATATACCTGTTCTACTTCCTTTAAGATAGGAGTGAATAATTGTTTCTTTTCTATGTTTCTTCCACTATGTAAATTATTATCATTGCATGAATGATTAAATCATTTCTATAAATTATAATCAATATTGGGCCCAAAACTGTATCACAGACCACTTCAATCTATGCTAATTTCATCTGAGATAACAAATTTGTACTTTACTTCTTGCTTTCTATACTTAAGACATGAAATAAACCACTTTTGATATCTCCTTTGATTCTATATTACACATTTTCTCAATAAGCATTGTCCTGCCAATAATAAGTCCTGTCCTTCAAATGCCCCCTTGAGATACAAGAAGTTAACTACTGCTTCCTCTCCTGCATTAATATTAATCTTTCAGTCATCTAAAACTACTTGTATTGCAGTTTCGTATGCCTTCTTTACTCTAAGCCTGATTGTTCATTTCTTATAATTTTACTTTTTTAATATAGTCTATGTAAGGCCTACGCAATCAATTACTTTTTTACTATTTCTTCTGATATTTTTTCATATATGGGTAGTTCATTTATTGGCCTGGATTCATTTGTTTTGTTTTTATTTGTCACTGTAGGAATTGGTATTACTGTGAAAGTCTTCCATGGCTGGAAAATACCTATTTCTGGGGAATTATTTGTTATTGTCAATTTTTAATAATACTACTTCTCTTATCTCATAATATTCTTTCTACATTTTTGTCATAATACCCTCATCTGCTCCTGTTGTCTTAATCCATAGATTATTCTAAGTAAACCTTCTTCTTTGATCAATTTAAATTTATTAAACTCACCCTCATACAATCTTTCTTCTTACTTGTAATGATTCCCAACATCAATGTTTTGTACTATACTTTTAATGCTATTTACAAAATTAATTATTAAATTTGTTAGCTGTATAGTCCATTTCGTTACTTCCTTCATTAAATGCAATTGAGTCATTGCAACACAGATTTTACTTCCTGCTAATTTCTTAATTTCTTTCCATAATTCTTTAATATTATTTTTGTGATCTTCAATAGTTTTGTTATAATATTCTACTTTCTTTTTCTTAACTAATTTATTTGGATTAATCTTACCTTCTTGTATTCTTTCCACTCTTTGGTTCTCATGATATTTTAGCTATTTTGTGTGGTTCCTCTCTCTTTTTGGTCATTCTTATTTCTTTATAGTATCATTTTCATTCATTTCAGTCAGTGTGCACCTTCAATGTTTTAAATAGTCCTGTCTCATCTAAGGATTTTTACAAAGATTTTTAAAAGTTTCTCAGTGACTTTCGCAAATCCCTATCCTGATCATTCTTTAAACTGATCAATTTTAAAATGTGTACCAAGTCTTTTTTCTGTATTTTAATTCTTTTTTTCATCTTCTTGAATTTGTAATTTTTTCTTGTCATGTGAATTAACCACTATCTGGCATGATAGGTTACTTTTGGTGTCTCTTGTACTTTTACATTTATATTTACATTGGAGAATACTAGATCTATGAGTGTCTATTTCTATCCACTCTAGTTGGCACTTTTACCATTTGGAATAGTCTTAATGCTTCAAAATAAAGTAATAACATCGTATTACATTCTCTTAGCATGTATATATTAAAATACCCCATTATTATTCCATTTTGTAAGATGATAAATCTCTATGAGATGCATTTGGCAAACAAGAGCAACTATTCATCCTTTATATTCTTTATAAAAAAATCTAATTCTCACGAATATTATTTCTCCCTTCAAACTTCTATTGTGTGAATTACATCTAATCTATTTGCCTTTTATTTCAATTTCCCAATCCTCTATATCTTCCATTACTTGTAAAAGACTTTAAGCTAGGTTTATTTTTACTCTCATTTATGTATTTAAGGATTTGCAGTTTTGTATGCCTTCAAAATAATCAAAATCTACCTCCCCTCCCCCTAAAAAAAGATACATAGACTTTGTGACAGGAACATAGCTTGTTTATTAATCACCTCATCTCGATCATGATCATCTAGTCCCCTTAGATCCATTGAGCAACTGCTGAAATGGTGCATTATTTTGCTCTTGTATGTACATGTAGGTTCACTATTCACACGTTTTGTTGAGTTTTCTTTCTGATTTTGGAAGGCGAAGGGATGGCATGTGTTATTTTGCCAGCAAATAATACAAATAAATAAATGTCTCTAAAATAAAATCTCCAGTTCATTTATTACTTCAAAAAATATTCTTTTACTTCAGAGGGGAAATATCTAGTTTCCAAATGTTGCAAACCACTCGTTTGTACAATAATAATTTAACTATTTAAAGGAGTGGGGTTGTGTTCTGGAGTGCAAGAAAACTAGTGCACATTGTATTTATCCCCATATGAGACAGTGTTATGATTGTTTTTGGCGATAAATATATCAAATATTGGAACAAAGGGAACTAAGAAAGATATCATTTCTCTAATTGTCTTTTGAAATCACCAAGCACATGAACTTCCTATTGCAGGTAATCTCGTGTTTCTCGGATAGTGCAAGTGTGTGTCACTAATATCCCATAGCACACACATCACTGACTTTGATGCTATGAGGAAGCACTTCCTTTAAGCCGAATTAATGTCTCAAGAGGGAGTAAGCATGGCCAAACTATGCAGGTCCCTAATAACATTAAAATAATGAACATACTTAACCAAAAATTAATATTTACGAGAAGAGTCTATGATGCTATTTATAATATGCTTACCAAATTACGTAATTGAATGTATGACTTTCTACATTTCATCTTGCCGCAGGGATGGCTACGGACCTCACTGACTGCACCAACTGTGCCGAAATGCGTGTTAAATGCGTGGAAGTGGCACTGAAGGACCTCTGCGACCGCATCCAGAAAGCTTCCGATAAACTGGTGCGTAGTGCGTTCTATGACTTCTGCTCAATTATCACAGAGGGAGAACAGACATTTGACAGCTAAGAGATCATCGCTACAAACTTGCGACTGCTTTCTACATCTGCACTCAATGCGATCATGATGCAATAAAAATATATTTTTCTTATGTAATTCCACTATATATTTTATGCTATTCTAATTTCTCTGTTATTATTCCTGACCCCACATAATACATTTTTTTTTATCATTTCCTATTACAGAATGAGGTGTTTGGACCACTGGAATGAACGGAGTTCAAGGCAGCTTGCGAGAGATCTAACATACAGACATCCCAGAAGAGTAAAATTTGCATTACACTGCCCTTTCGATCTGAGAGAAGCTACGATGAAAGTTTCATAAATGAGATTACATAGTTAATTTAAAATCTTAGATGATTGAATTAAAGTGGTCACATACTAGAGGAAAATTTATACTTTATTGTGAAGTTGTGAACGATATGATCATACGGGAATCCTGCACATGCTATAAAATTTGTATGAATTTGCTTTAAAGTTTGTTTGAAGGTTTTTAAAAAGAACGTGAACAAACAAAATATGTAATATTTATAATTAAAAAAATAAATTTATCATGGTTTAATATTGACTTTTATGTCTCAAAGCAGAACTCCAAAATAACTAACAAATGAAAAAGTTAGTACAGCTTGGCAAATTTTAACTGTGTTAAAGAATGGCCTTGTTGTAGAGGAACAAAGTATTGGGGCAAAAAAGTTCTTAATGCATTTATTAGGCTGTCCGGGTGACGCCGCGTCCATGGCGAAGGTCCATGGGAAGGTCGCAGAATGGCGACCGAAACGTCGGCACCTTCGCCATGGACGCGGCGTCACCCGGACAGCCTAGTAAATACCGACTCCGGCCGCTCTCACAAGTCCTTAATGACTAATCAGTGAATTTTTCACCCGAAAGTTTGCTCCTGAAAGATCCTTCCGTCACTGTCATTGATGTGTGACACCATAGCTAAGGAAACCCTCTCTGAAGACAACAGCTGACGTTTCCACGTGTGTGCTTTGTAGACGCGACTGAGGCAATAACATGGGAATGGATTCAAATTTAAATATATATGTATATGTTTACAGGTACAAGAAAATTGCATTCAATATTTTTTTATCTTTTAGATTACAAGATATTATGAACGATTTAAAACAATTTTTATTTTATAATCTGAAGTACCCTAGGGTTTAATCTTTGGTTTAATATTTTTTAAGCTTTATATCGTGGATTTATTTCAACTATCATTGTCATCTTATGTTTTATCTTATGCTACTGATACAGAATTACTGCTTTCCTTCGATTTGTCTGAATATTATGATGTCATCGATAGGATGAATAATGACCTTCGGATTATAGCAAAATGGTTTTCTGACAATTCTCTTATTATAAATGCGATTAAGGCATATTATCGTGTTGTGGATCCGTCTCGTAGATTGGTCAAATATGATACTGATATATTCACACTGGGTATTGTATCTATTCCTCGTAAACAATAGCTCAAAATGCTAGGAGTGGTCTGACCGCGCAATTTTTCTTGATCTATGGTTTGGAGAAATATAGGCAGAGTGGGGGTTAGTTAAGAAATTAGCCACTTAAGGACTGAAGCAATGCCAACCTTTGGAAAATAAAGTTCAAACCTATATTTCACTGCAATGCATTGCTGGTAAATTTCTTGACCTAGGAAGCATAGGGGATGAATCTTGTCGAATTTATAATGAATTCCTTATCAACCGAGTCAGTGTAAACAAGACAAACTTTATTAAAGACTTTATTAAATACTATAAATAAACCATTTACTCAAAAATCTGTGTAATATTGGTGAAAATATGTACAAAATATAGTTACATAGAGTATGATAAATTAGTATTCTTGAATGTTACCTTTCATTTCCCGGTGATTCTGGGGAAAGGATTTTTCGCTCTTTTAATCTTTATTCTCCGTATCATCGAAATTCTTGCTTCATTGTAAGCAGAAACCCGACCCATTATAACTTTTTTTTTCCAAATTTGCTTGCTTTCCCAATTTTCTGAATAATTTTGCGTACGCCGCTATAACACGTTCTCCTTACTTTCTCAGGAATCCGTGGTTCGAGAAGTCTCCCATAAAGATTCTGGACTTGCCTCAGCCATTTCTTTCCATTGTTTAAAAAAAAACTACACACAAACACGTGTTCTCGTTTTCAGTTGAAAATAAAATTTGTCTCGCGTCAATGGTGTGTCAATCGCGCCAATCGTGTTTCGAATGATGTGATCAGTGCTAGCTGCGAGATTTTTTCATTTGTTTATTGTGTCAGGGAGGGGAAAGGTAGGCCATCGGCCAAGAAAAGTGTTGCGGGTAATAGTAAACCTTGATTGGAATTTTAATGATGATGTGAAATTGAAATATCAGGCTTATGTAGGGCGCCAGGAAAGTCTCTCCGCAATGTCACCGTCCTGTTAAAGAGTACTATTAACAGAAATTATATTAGTATCACGGGAACCAGGCAGCGCTGGGAAAATAAAAAGTAGATAGGTTGGGCCAAAAATGAAAAAATAATCTAGGTGATACCCTAGATAGGTCGGGCCAAAAATGAAAGATATCTAGGTGTTATACTAGCTCACTAACTCTCAAGCGGCATAACCGTAGATAACACGCGGCACGCCAGAGGCTGATTGAGAAGTTTGTTTAACAAACTGAGCAAAATGCCAACGGTAAACTGCATCATGCTTCGTGCTTTAAGTTGACCACAATGAAATGCGTGAATTGGGCAATTTGCAGCAAACCCGCATTTCAATAATGTGCAAGTAGTTATTAGAAATAAAATTATTTCCAACAGAGTTCCTAAATGCGCCAAATATTGAAAATAACTGAAAGTTACGTTTAAACCAAACAGTTTTAGTTATAGTACATACACGGTTTATTGAATAACGATCGATGTATACCGCCTCCTAAGATGAGTCATAGTTTATGATTGTCAAGTAGGAAGAAGCAGAAAGAAAAATTGAATACAAAAAGCGATAGACGTTTTGAGGTACACCGTCCTAATTGGGGCATTTTGTATGTATAATTAAACAGTATTGGTTTTAATTTCACGAATAAAATAGTCAATGAAATTGATCGAATTAAGATTTTCAGTAATGTTGCTTGCAAAAGTATGTGACTCGGGAAATACTCTTATATCTGAGTTCACTTCATACGAACCCGAACTATGGGCGAAACATAAACGACCAAGATAACATCTGGAGCAACGAAACTGAAACAGCGCAATAACACTTCAATAAACTAGTGGAGCTACAACAGTATTTACTTTCTCTTATTATTTCTAAATTTGAAATTTAAAAAAAAAATAGAATTTAACGAAAATCGGACCTCCGCCACTACTTTAAGCGTTTCTTGTTTTATCAATGGAAAAACAGTTGAGGAAAACAATTTGGAGCGGTTTTGAAAAAAGGTTTTTTTATAAATTGCATAAATTTTAAGCACAAAATACACAACAACTACTCGTGTTTCAAAAAATTGTATACGACCTTTTTTAAAGAATGATTTTTCGAACAGATTTTGTTTGAGGCAAAAATCTCAAATTTGAGTTTTGTAATTTTGAAATGTTAAAATTTTGCAATTTTCGGAAGTACAGAGTTCGCCGGAAATGAGACCAGCACCAATTTTTTTCCCGCCCTTTGATACATAATGGGAGAAAATGTGGAGCCATTTTTGAGTAAAATATGAACATGTTGAGGCTTCATATTAAGTATCCCCAAAAATTAAAATATCAATTTCCAACTCAGAGAGCCTTGAGTTGCTTTAAATCGATCACGTTATAATGATTTTGGAGAAAATCGTCTGAGCGGTTTAGGCGCTAGCGTTGACTAGAAACAGACGAACACACCTTTGCTGTTAATCAATTTTCGGTATCAGGGACCCACAAAACATGAATTATGAAAACAAAGTATTAGAGGAATTGATTTAATAATATACAATAACAAGTTTTATCCACTTTTTCTTTACTAAGGCCCAGCAATAAAAGTTTTTCTGAAATAAAATTCGCCATTTCCCGGGTCATGATTACAGTTCTTTCTCTTCCTACGAAGGAAGAGCGAGAAAGTAAATATTACCACTAATGTTCTTTGCTTTTAATTTTCCCAATTGCTATTTTCCATATTAAATGTTGTAAATGCAATTTTTTTGCATCACTTAGAATATTTAAAAAATATGTATTTATAAGTGAATAAAAATAAATGTTTTATACCTACTGAGGTAGTATTTACCATTGGACATTGTACATTTTTACCACCCAAAAGTAAGGGAAAAATGGTTTACAAGAATTAATCTAGGATTTTATTGTTTCAACACTAAAATACTTAAATAATGAAACAAAATCCTTTATTTTAAATATATGTTCACTCTGAAAGTATGCGTAATCAACAACATGAGCATAGCGATGTATAAAAATTGAAATATTCCAATAATATAGGACAAAAAAAGAATAAACGAACGTTTTGAACTGCGATATGGCCCAAAAGGAAGCAACGTTGTATTTCAAAGTCCTTAGAGAATTTAGTCGGCGACAATTCTTGTTCGTTCTAGAAAGAAATTCTGCAAGGTTCTCTTCATTATTCGGAAAGGAAGGTAAATTATTTCTCGACCATGGACGCACATTATTTTTTAAATCAAATAAATTGCATTACGTAAATTTGAGGTTTTATTATACACGGTGGAATTGCATCATATTTTATTGCGGTATCATAATTAGAATTTGAGACTAAAATCTGGGACCAACTTCTGGGATTCCTAAAGAGGCTTTTCTCTACAGCTACATCCATTGCAAAAAAGAGTAAAGTAATCACTTTTTGGTACCTTTTCCGCTCTGTCGTCCTGGACTTGATACAGCTGATGTTTCTGATGTATCTGGTATAGTGCCAGGCAAAATGCCGCCGTAACTGAAGATGCTGTTCACTGTGCCAATTTGAAGACTGAAAGGAAATTACAAATATACAACTCACAACATAATCCTTTAAGTTTGAAAGAAAATTAAGGAATTACTATATAATAAGTACAGTCGAACTTGGTTAAGTGAAAACCTCATTAGTGAGTGTATGAGATCCCGACATTTTTATATGCAAAAACCACTGTATGTGAAAAAACTGATAACAGACTGATTTTTCGAAAGATTTTTCTCGATATCTACTAATAAAAAACTTGACATTCTTGAATTTCTGAATGATGAAATTTCTCGAAATCTTGGAATGTTTTGACATGCTTGTCTTTTCTTATTAACGTGTACTAACCGAAATCTCTTTCGATTGATTATTCATCGATAATATTTCGACCTGATAAATATCCCAAGCTTCAAAAATGTATCATGGCTTGGATCAAGTTATGTTTGAGTAACAATATACCAATAAATGAACCACTAATTCAATGCCCCTTGGTTTGAAACCAATAGACAGCTTCATAGAGAATAAGACTTTGAACTAAATTCTAATTACACTTCCTTCTTATCCTTCAAATTCTAACCTCCAAACTGCCCCTTGCACCAATCATTTCAACCTCGGTAAAACC